TTTTAATTATTTAATATATTTTATACCTACAACACGCATACTGTAACAATTCATTGCCCTACACTTTTTTACATATTCTTAATATACTCTCAATTACATAGCAATCAGTATATACACAAATTCAGTTATCAAAACATAGCAAAACAATTTATCAACATTTCAGTAGTGGACATAAATAAGAACACAACAATCAGTAGAAAAATTCTGTCGAAATCATGTGCCTAATTATCAATTATTAAACATTACGGTTTTAATATTTTAAAAAGATTAAACTACATTTGTAAGTATTTATGCACTTACCTAATTTTTGTTTAAATATCGTTCGTGAAATTATCTCCGATGTACGAGATCAACCTGTTACAGTGGTATCTGTATCGGGTTAGTAACGGGTTGGTTATTCTCTAATTTCAAATGCCATATCTGGATTTGTTACTAATTACAAACCAGATACGTAATTTATTGTATTAGAATTAAATATGATTAATAAATCCTAAATCTAAAACAGTAAATCATAAGGATTTTTGAACTCACCTACCCGAACTGGATCCTTAGAACTCACCGAGCACAGCCACCGGAAGTTCGTGCGCCTCCACACGCGCTACCACTAGACCACCATGCGCCATCGCTGCTCACTGTTGGTTACTGCCACTCGACGTCAATCACCACTTCGGAATGGCCAAAATTCACTGCAGAATGCCCCGCACCCTCGGATCCAGCACAGCCTGATGGAATCACACTGGAGGCAGCCGCAGAACGGCCGAACACGCCTGGAATCGCTGCACAGACCGCCTCCTTTCTCCCATGCACCACCGCACGGAACACCCCCGTTTCTTCTTCCTTTTTGCTCTTCTCCTTCCTCCTCTCCTCTCTCGATTGTTGACTGATGGTAGTTGCAACCTTCTCCCCCCTGTTTTTTTCTCTCTCTCCCTCTTTCTCTTTCTTTCTAGTACCGATTGGCTCCCTTCATTTCGTTTTTATAAGGAGGGGCGGGAGGAGCCCTGCACGACTCTTCTTTCTCATCGTGCAGGTCTCCTTTCCGCGTTTCCCGGCTACACGCCTCTGCCTCTCCCCCTTGCTCGACTAGAGGTGAATGCCTCTATATTTTTTAATACCTAAAACGATGTTGTTTTGGGTCTGTTACAGTTAAGGTGAAGATCATTTGTTAATTGGATTGATCCGGTTCCTGCCACTGGAGAGAATGAACCATCAGCTATTCGGATTGCAATGTGACTAGTACATGGACTATAGTTTCTAAAAATGTTGATGGCTCCAGTCATTTGATCCGAAGCTCCCGAGTCAACTATCCAAGGTTTTGGTCTCCTGTTTTGTACAATATGAGCATAGGATAAAGTAACTTGGTGTGCTAGAAGACTGGTAGGCTGCTCAGCAGAGGATTGTGGTGCTTGTCCAGAACTGGAAACGTGACCAAACATTTTCTGCAGTGCCTCAATTTGCTCTTTGGTGAATGGACTGAATTTTGCATTGTTGTCTGTTGTGGCAACAACATTTGCACAGTTCTATCTGCCATATCTTCCACTGGATGGCTTCCAATATGAAAGTTTTTCATATATTTTCCAGCATGTCTCGTTCAGATGACCAAGTTTCTTACAATGGTCGCACCATGGTCATCCTTTCCTAGGCTTATTATTCTGAGAGGAACTGTGAGTGTACACAAGACTGACCCTTCGACAGCGGGTGTATTGTGATTGTCTGTCATCATCAGTTTCTTTCTGCTCTCCTTTCTACGAACTTCTGCAAAGGCCTCCTGAATAGTTGGAAGAAGTTTAATCTCCATGATTCTCCCCCTGACTTCGTCTAGGTCTTTATTGAGGCCAAGAAGAAATCTAATGATCCAATTTTCCTATACAAGGCAGAATCATCAGGGCATTTCCAAGCAGCCAACTATGTGTGAGAGTGTTGAAATATTGAGTAACACTCAATTCTCCTTGTCGTAGATCATGTGATCTTGTCTCAATCTCAAATAATTTTGAGGAATTCTCAGTGCTAGAATACGTTTCACGAGCAACCTCTCATATCTCATTGGCTGTCTTAAAGAGCAGAAAGTTTTCTCCAACCTCTTTGGTCATGGAATTTATTAGCAAAGACATAACCAAGTGATCATCAGTTTTCCAGGCCCGGTATTTAGTATTTGTTGTTTCCGGAGCAGAAATTTCGTTTGTGAGATGTCCATCATTTCCTCTATCGTAAATGTACATGAAAACGTACTATGACCACTAAAGAAAATTGTAGCCATGAAGTTTGTGATTTGTGACAATATGAGAGGAAGAATCAAGAACGATAGTGGCTGAAGAATTAGATTCGGATCTAGAAGTGATTTATGAGAAAGAAGATTGTGAGGCCATGCAATATTTTGTTATGAGGAGAGTGCTGCGGAGAAATTTTTTTTTGGAACGGATTAGGATTTAGAGACCTGCTTTGATATCATGAAGAAATTAATGAGAAGAATTCTGATTTCTTATTATGATTCAAAAATAATTTACATCATAATATATATACTAGAGTGGCTGGCATACCAGTTCACCGAAAAAGGAGAAAAAATTCCAGCAAATTAGGAATTCCAACAAAATAGGAAAATCGGAAACTACAAAATCTAATTAAGAAAAACTTGAAACTAGAAGAAAGAAATCAAAAGCTATTCTAAGAAAATAAATAACATCCTAACTAATTGCACAAGTATCAACTATTTTTTACAATTTTATTTTTCATTCTTTATGTTATTATACTTAAGATAATTAAAGAATTTTTAATATACTGATAGAAAAATTTTTATTCTACTAAATTTTTAATTATATGAAATTATTATTCTCATAAAATTTTAATTACATAATACCAACTAATAAAATAAAATAATTAAATAATAAGTTACTGGCGCATTAAGATCATCCGCTAATGTCACCAGCATGTGAAGGTCATGCACCACTTGCTATCATCTCTGGCTTTCGTTTCCAGCATGTTCTAATTTGGCATGAAGCGGTCTTTCTTGTTTTCTGGTGCTTATGTGGTTTTTGTTAATTACTTGGGGAAATCTTGAAATGTTTTTTTGGAGATGATAGTGGTGTTTTATGTTCCTATAAGACTACGATTCACTAAGTTACAGTTAATGTGGTTCTTATATTACAGAAAAAAAGGTTAATATTATTCTCAATATTGATGTTATGAATAATTTGATTGATAGGTTGTTTGGGTGAAAATATGCAAGGTATGGTATCTATTGAAAAAAGTTACGTGAATCCTAGAATTTTTGCTGGGGTGTGTAAGAACAAGTTCTCTGTCAAGAATGAGTTGCACAAGTAAGAAAATAAGTTGGGAAGTGGAAAATCACGAAGGGTGCACAAAGAAGATGGTGAAATTGACTGCATGGAATAAAAAACGGGGACAGAGTGCGAAAGATGCAACTGACCACAGGGAAGCAAAACCCATAAAGGTTTTAAGTGTCTGCCACGCAATTTTCCCGCCCAAAGGTAATTGAGGCACACGTGGCAGCATCTGTGGAAATCTGGAGGGATGTGTGTCACGATCGTGGACCGAGTAATTAGAACCTCGAATCATTCTGAACCGCTGGATCGTTTCTTCGTCCATTGGTGAACAGGGGACGACTTTTCGTCTTCCTTCTCCACGCAGCGAACCCGATAGGATGCATCCCTTCTGACCAATGGCTTCCACAGCGTTCCATGGCGACAATTGACAGTTCAGAAGGAAGATTCATGTAACATTTCTTGTATTTAAATAATGTCTTGTAAGCTCAAATAAGTCAAGGAATTTCAGACTGATTTTATACAACTTCAGTTCTTCCATCTCCAGTCTTTCTCTCTCTCTCTCTGTGTTACGTTCTCTCTCTCTCTCTGTTACTTTCTCTCCCGATCTCTCTCTCACTATTACTTTCTCTCTCATACTCTTCTCCCTCACTCAGTCTCCCTCTCTCTAGTATCTTTCTTCTCTCTCTATTATTTTCTTTTTTTTTCTTTCCAGATTTTACTCATATGTTCAATTTAATTTTAATTGTTTTATGGTTCCAGTAAAGTACATGTCAAGGCCGGTTGTCCCACAAAAAAAAAAATTATTGAAACCTTGTAGCTTTGCTCGAAGGAGTGTGGATGAGTTGTGGCCTCAGAGCATTACTCGAAAAGTGAGGATAAGGGTCCCACAAAAAGTTTATGAACCATTTGTAGCTGTAGTTTAGTGGAAATCGAGGATTGTTTCCCTACCTAAAGAAAACTAAAAAAATTGTTATTTTTTTTAATTATAGTTGTTGAAGATGCAGAAAAGTTGTTGCTAAGGCTTGAGGTTGTTGTTCATGGTAGTTGTTGGTGAAAACTATAAACTTGATACTTGGTTAAGCATGTCATTACACGATTGAGATGTTGTTCAAGCCTGTTCTTTGAGAAGCAAGTTGTTGGTTCAGCTTGTTCAGAAGATGGTTTATTAAAGTCATCAATTCTGATGCAAGATAGTTTGTAGCATTTGTCAAGCTACAATTTTTTGTAGTTTAGTTTAAAAGTTTTCTTTATGTTAGTTTATTTGTGACAAACTCGAACTTACGTTGGAAGGTCAATGTTGAGAATAGGAATGGAGAATAGTAAATCATTTCCCATATGGTCTTTTCCTATCTAGTTAAGTAGTTTCTGTTTGAGTTAATGTTCTATTTAGTTAAATTCTGTTCTTTGTTTTCTTTTTTGTTATTTATTTGTGGTAATCCCTATAATACATGTATGGTTGTGTTAAACTTAATCACAAGAACACTCATCGGTTTATTCTTTTTTAGCAGTAACAATCTTTTTGTTGCTAATGTGTTAAATTTTATTTCTATTGCTAAAACTTCAAACTTCTTGTGGTGATATTTATTAGTGAATTACCACCAGTACCATAATATAAATTACTGGTTATCTTAGTATCTCAATTCTGGTTTACCATTCTTCCTCAATCTTCAGAAGTTAGAATCATATTAATTTTAAAAATTTTTTGTATTTTCATAAATGCAGTATCATGACTTCATCAAGAATGTCCCAGAGACTCGGCAGCACTTGCAGAACCCCTCCCAAATTCCTCCCATCGTGGAGACAAGAACTAGTGGTTTGAAACCCATCCTAACCTTGAAAGAACAGGGAATTGGTGATTTAATTGTTTGACTGACAGCTTTAAGCTCTCTGAGTTAAGATTATATGCAAGTGAAATTACTAGTTTCCTGCTTGACTGGAAATGTCATGTATAAGGGTAGAAGAATAGTTAGACAGTTTTATTTCTTGGGCATAAATGAAGATTTGAAATTCTAATTCTATTTTTATATGCAATCAAGTGGAGGGATATTTGAAAGCATAGAGTTTCTGAGAGGAGTAAGGAAACTGTATCATATTCTTAGGTTTATAATTTCTACCTAAGTTGTCTTGAAATTCAGATTGTGAATGGAGACCCTTGGTGTGCAGAGTCTTACTTCTGCCAGACCAAATAAGTTATAGATCTTTATATTTTTTCCTAATGTTCTCTCTAATAAAACGTATCGATTTTTTTTTTTATAGAAAAGAAATATTATAAAGAGAGAGATGATTGAAAATAACGGAGTATTACATTTCCTAACTAGAAGGAGGAAAAAAAAACCAAAAACCAGCTAGACATGAAAAAGGGATTTTTCCAGCAAGCAACGCTTGAAGAACCAGCCAAGTGGCAGGAAAAAGTAGACGAAATGGTAGTTTTCTGTTAGTGTTTCTGTTAAGCATTTTGATTCTGTACTACTGTACTAGAAAGGACAAGGGATGCTGGTGATAATTGTTACTGTAACTGGGAATATTATTTTACTGCCAACCAATATCAGTTGCAGTAACCACATAAGTGTATAACCTAAATATGGTGATACTAGTGAAGAATTATTAGAAAGTTTCTATTTTTCCCTCTCTCATTCCGTCTGTTATTCTCTCTACTTTTCCCCCTATTCTTTCTATTCTTTCTTTTCTCTTTTCTTTTCCCTGTCTTTTTTTCTTTCTGTTTCCCCTCATGCTACCCTCATACTTGGCCTAATGTGCCAGTATCCTGACAAGCTGCTACTGGAGCTGATTAAAGCTGCAGAGATTGCTTCCTCCATTGTCAAACTGTCAAAGGAAAAGTGAAAGTCGACCATCTATTGATGTGAAATCGGAATCCAAACTAGAGGCTAAGCTGGCGGGAATAGTGAAACTCCAAGCCATATTAGCTGACACCATGGTCCAATGCTTACCGCCCAACAATCCACCAGCCAAACTTAACTTCATCTCAAGCACTTGGATCCCCCTAATCTCAGAACTTCCCTTGGCCTTAGATGTCAAGAGAGTTACTGCCCACACCTCTCACGAAAGAACCCGGAGGAAGCAGCCATTCTCAAGCTTCCTTGTCAAACAAATTGGGCCCTAACAGCCCAATGATTGATATTCTCCTTTCTGAAGGGGTAAATCCTAGACCATGGGTGAGTAGGTGCAACAAATACTTCTCACTTTATGGGGTCCCAAATAATCAAAAGGTGGAGATAGCCACCCTATTTTTGGGTGTGAAGTCAGATTTCTCTTGACCTTTTTGTTATAGAGGCTAGTGTACGCCACAGCAGCACAGGTATTGTATTTGATGCAACAAGACAAGCCATATTTGAGTAAATCCTTGAGTACCAAGCACCGACTATTGTCTATCTATAAAAGGTAATTATTGCCTATCATCATGGCTGTCTCAAGATGGTGACGTCACCTAAAAGATCCTTCCTTGACCATTTAGAAGGACCAATGAAATATCAAACACATTTTGGAGCAAAGAATCCATAACTTCATCCAAATAAAGGGCATAATATGGACACTTTGTGGTTAAGCTATAAAATTTAGTATAAGAAAGATAAGAAGAAGAAAGTTGTAATGCATTATCAAAGAGTTGTCAAGAGGTAAATGGGGAGCTCACTTGAATGACAACACTGGTTTCAACATGGAGGCAAGAAGTTTATAGATCCTACCAAGGTGATGAAGAAGCCAACTTGTCACCATCCTGTCCATCACCCAAATGCCAGACCACTATATTCCAGTGACAAAGGGCTCTTGAGATACAAGGGAAGTGTCTTCATAAACCAAGGCACACGACTGAGACCAAATTGATCCAAATAAGATTCAGCAGTAGGAGGACATTTTGGAATCAAGGTGCATACAATCGCCTCAAGCAAGGTTTTCTCTTGCAAAGATGAAGCAGGAAGTCAGAGCACTGATCAAGAATTGTTATGTATGTTAGAGATGCAAGGCTGAGCATGTGAAGTATCTAGGGTTGCTGCAACCACTACTTGTTTCTAGGGAAACATGGTTTCATATCTCAATGGATTTGTTGAGCAACTCTAAAATCAAAAGGAAAAGACACTATCCTGGTTGTGGTTGATAGATATACCAAGTATGAAAATTTTCTGCACAAAATGTAGGTTAGCTCTTCCTGTACCAAGTTGACAAGCTATATGACATGTTGAGCTTCATTGTCTTGGGCAAGGACAAGATTTTCACTAGTAAGTAATTCCAGGAATTCATGAGGTCATGAAAGTTGATTTAAGACTAAATATGGGTAGTCAATTAATGCATTGAGATTTTACCTACTATGCATGGCATTCCCAAGACCAAACTCATGGGCAAAATGGCGCATGCTTGCAGAGTGGTAGTGCAAGACCACTTATTATTCCAACATTAAGGTGACTCTATTTGCAACCTTTTGCAGTCATCCTCCTCCCGCAATGATGGAGCAAAAAGAGTGGAGCCCGCCTTTTGCAGATCTAGAGGAATGGATGGAAATAAGGCAAGAGATGAACTGGGTGCTAAAGGATCAAATTCTGGAATCTCAAAACCGGATTAAACAAATTGCAGACACTAAAAAAACAGAGGAAGCGTTTCAAGAAGGTTATATGCTCTTGGTAAAGTTTCTGTACAAGAATCCCATGGTAGCAGTTCAGAGGTGTCTTCAGCTGACTCCTAATTCTATAGGCCATAAGGTGGAGAAGAGAGTCGAAAGGGTGGCATAAAGTAGCCCTTCCATCTAACTCTACAATTAACCCTATTTTCCTTGTTTTCTGAAGACAAATCAGCAAAATTCGCTGCTGTCCTAAACACTAAGCTATTTTTCTTCCTTCCAACTCTGTAAGAGCAAATGAGCGAAACCCTTAAGATTGGGGAAAAGAAATTCCAAAGTTTTTCCCTAGTCCAAGTTGGGGAAGAAGAAGAGGAAAAATGTTAGTATGAAAAGGGGATTGTTTAGTTGGCATCAGGGGATTCTTTGGCAGAAGAGGCCTATGATTTTGGCATTGAAAATTGAAATGAGGTGATAATAGGAGAAGCCGAAGAGGCTAGGTATATGAGTGAGAAGTTAGAAATCTCTTTCAATTATTGTAAGGAAGAGGCAGTTGAGAGACTCATAAAAACCTAGTTAAGGGACCTAGCGGATTTGAGCAGGCTGACCATTGAGGTACGCGGTCCTTTTATGTTATTTTTGTGATCCTGCAAATTTTTTCATTGTAAATTGTCACTTGCAACATTAGGGGGTTTGGTAGGAAGGAGAATATTAAAGTTGTCCAAATGCAACTCAATAGACTGAAACTTTCAGTTGTCATGCTCCAAGAAACCAAATTGGGTGACTATTGTAGTTATGGGCATAAACATATTCGGCACCGCAGAGATGTTGATCTGTGTTTTGTTGAGGTTGTTGGGTCGGCTAGCAGGCTCCTTTGTCTTTAGGACGAGAATTTTTAGGGTGAAATCTAAGGACTTGCACAGGCATTTTATTGTTCTTAAAGGAAATCTATTGCATTTTAATCTTCTATCAAGATCCTTAGATCCTGAATTTGGTCAGAGAAGAAATTTGGGGTTTACATTTAGGGTAGAGAAAGAAGAAGAGAAAGGTAGAAGAAGAGAAGAAGAAAAAGAGAAGGGAGTAGAGAAAAGATAGAGAATGGTTGCTGATTCTATTCTGAATTTAGGTAAATGGTTCTTGTTTTCTCATTTTGTCTTCCATTGCCTTTTCTACCATTCCTTACTCATATAAGACAAAACAGAATAAAAAACTATGACAGACAAGTAAAGCAAATCTGCAGAAAAGTAAATAAAAAAAAAAACAAATCTGCTAGAGGCAATACAACCCTAGGACCACATTCGTAACTAATCTAGGATTAACAAATTAACCATTAACTAAATTAATTGTGATTGGTTACTGTTGGGTTGTTGGTCCTGACAATCCCTTCCCCTTCAAAATCTTCTTTGTCTTTAAGGATGTATATTAGCCTCAACTGAAGAGCGACTGAAGATATGTTGAGTCATCCATATGAGAGATGCTGAGCAAACCACTACCATCCTGATCTACACACTTCATTATACCCCAATTAACAAGTTTGAGCAATAATAATTTATATATGTGATATTTAGCATATAACCAAACATTATTTGAAGAGTTCCATTGTTGTTGAAACTGGAACTTAATTGACTTTTTGAAAGACAATCACCATCCACAAATAGAGTCCGGATTCTAAATGAATTTTCAAAAGAGCTCAATGTCGGCAGGTTCATAAGATACTCTAGTGATGCTATCCCTTGATCTTGTTGCTGCTAATACATAGCTTTAGATGACATTGGAAAATATTGTGATTGAATTTTAACAAACAGTTGATGCTCATTCTTCAAATGCCCTTCTTTCGTAGCCAGTTTTCATGCTTGGTCCTTTCCTTAATTTCTGTTTAATCAAGCTTCTCAACAATCAAAGATTCTACAATCTCAACTCTTATCTCATCGTCAACTATAGGAGATATAGAATCCTTACTGTTTCCAACAAGAGAAAAATTTTCAGTATGATAGACGAATCTTCTATGTGGTAGGAGAGAAAATATTGCCGCACAACCTTTTCGTGCTTCATGGACTCTCTGTTCACACCGACAGAAACACGCCTGTAGAGCAGCATTGTGCTTTTGCCAGCGAAGTTCATTGTTTTCTTTGATTTTGTATAGATACATGCTGAACTCTTGGAGTATCTGTTCTAATTTGAGCATGTGGTGGTAATCGATCATGATGAACTTTAAAGTAGATTGCAGAGACAAGGAAGAATGGAGAAAGAGGGTTTTACTATTTGAAACTTAGAGGGAGGTACAAACAGGGAAAAAGGAGAGGAGAAAAAGAAAGTTACAGTAGAGAGAAGGAGAAAAGCAGAAAAGATTAGAGGAAGGAGCAGTAGCCACCAAAGATTGTTGGCTTTGATACCATTTATCAGGATCTTTAGATCTTGAATTTGGTCAAAAAAGAAGTTTACATTTTCGTTTAGGGTAGAGAAAGAAGAGGAGAAGAGTAGAAGAGAGAAGAAGAAAAAAAGGAGAAGAGATTAGAAAAAGTTAGAGAATGGTTGCTGATTCTATTATGAAATTTAGTAAATGTTTTTGTTTCTCATTTGTCTCATGTGTTTCTACTCC